GCTTGTTGGATAGCGGATGAATAGGCCAACAAGCTGACAAATCGGCAAGGCTTCAGACTTGAAACTTTTGGAGTGAGCCCCAGACGTAGGTACAGATGCCCCCAGATTCGTTTTTGTGCAGTAAGTGCCATAGCAAGGGCTGTCAGCGCCAGCCGACATGGCTCTCATGTGTCGCGGTCTAAAGGTACCTTCACATCGATGGATTTTGACAAACTATAGCTTGTTGGATAGCGGATGAATAGGCCAACAAGCTGACAAATCGGCAAAGGCTTCAGACTTGAAACTTTTGGAGTGAGTCCCAGACGTAGGTACATGATGCCCCCAGATTCGTTTTGTGCAGTAAGTCCCATAGCAAGGGCTGTCAGCGCCAGCCGACATGGCTCTCATGTGTGCGGTCTAAAGGTACCTTAACATGGATGGATTTTGACAAACTATAGCTTGTTGGATAGCGGATGAATAGGCCAACAAGCTGACAAATCGGCAAGGCTTCAGACTTGAAACTTTTGGAGTGAGTCCCAGACGTAGGTACATGATGCCCCCAGATTCGTTTTTGTGCAGTAAGTCCCATAGCAAGGGCTGTCAGCGCCAGCCGACATGGCTCTCATGTGTCGCGGTCTAAAGGTACCTTAACATAGATGGATTTTGACAAACTATAGCTTGTTGGATAGCGGATGAATAGGCCAACAAGCTGACAAATCGGCAAGGCTTCAGACTTGAAACTTTTGAGTGAGTCCCAGACGTAGGTACAAGATGCCCCCAGATTCGTTTTTGTGCAGTAAGTCCCATAGCAAGGGCTGTCAGCGCCAGCCGACATGGCTCTCATGTGTCTCGCGGTCTAAAGGTACCTTAACATGATGGATTTTGACAAACTATAGCTTGTTGGATAGCGGATGAATAGGCCAACAAGCTGACAAATCGGCAAGGCTTCAGACTTGAAACTTTTGGAGTGAGCCCCAGACGTAGGTACAGATGCCCCCAGATTCGTTTTGTGCAGTAAGTGCCATAGCAAGGGCTGTCAGCGCCAGCCGACATGGCTCATGTGTCGCTGTCTAAAGGTACCTTAACATGGATGGATTTTGACAAACTATAGCTTGTTGGATAGCGGATGAATAGGCCAACAAGCTGACAAATCGGCAAGGCTTCAAACTTGAAACTTTTGGAGTGAGCCCAGACGTAGGTACATGATGCCCCCCAGATTCGTTTTTGTGCAGTAAGTCCCATAGCAAGGGCTGTCAGCGCCAGCCGACATGGCTCTCATGTGTCGCGGTCTAAAGGTACCTTAACATGGATGGATTTTTACAAACTATAGCTTTTTGGATAGCGGATGAATAGGCCAACAAGCTGACAAATCGGCAAGGCTTCAGACTTGAAACTTTGGAGTGAGTCCCAGACGTAGGTACATGATGCCCCCAGATTCGTTTTGTGCAGTAAGTCCCATAGCAAGGGGCAGCGCCAGCCGACATGGCTCTCATGTGTCGCGGTCTAAAGGTACCTTAACATGGATGGATTTTGACAAACTATAGCTGTTGGATAGCGGATGAATAGGCCAACAAGCTGACAAATCGGCAAGGCTTCAGACTTGAAACTTTTGGAGTGAGCCCAGACGTAGGTACATGATGCCC